CATGTATGAATCATTATCACATGTTGCTCTCTCTCCCGTTAATTAAAATAGTTTTAGGTTTGCCCTCTTGATCATTATAGTTGTGTTATACATACCAAAAAGACACAGTTCTTTACGGAGTATTCAAAACCCACATTTGTTTCTGATGCAAGCACCCTGCTACAATGCTACAACACCAGCCAAATCCAGCAATGGTGTGAAACCAGCCTAAGTCTGGCCGTGTCCGTACTTACTCACCAGCTTGTTCCAGAGCAATCATGGTGGCCTGTTCAATCAAATCTCTTTCGATGAAGCTCCGGAAGTCTTCGCTGTAAACGCTGAGGTCGGGGAGCTGGAATGTGTAGATGGGCATTTCCAAGGGGGAGTGTTCATTGTTGCATTCGCTGGCCACGTGGGACCGGGCAAGGGAAACTATTGCTGAGCTGGCATGAGAAATCCCTCTGGACAGCCTCTTTTCTATGGGGCAGAGCAAAGGAAGAGGAGGGCAACATTAACTCAGCAGTCTTAAAACATGGCTTTACCTGAAAGGGAAATCTAAGCATGCTGTTGTACCTCAGTTCACCTTGCTCACAGCATTCACCAAGAAACCAAACTTGGTAACAAACAGTTTATTGTACTGTCGAAGGCCTTCATGGCCGGAATCACTGGGTTGTTGTAGGTTCTAGAGGCCATGTTCTAGAGGCATTCTCTCCTGACATTTCGCCTGCATTTATGGCAAGCATGCTCAGAGGTAGTGAGTAGGGCTGGGCAACCACGGAAAAATTTGTTTCTAAACTCGATTCGTTTTTTGGGTTTTTTTGAGTTTCGATATTTAAAAGAATTCCGAAATTTTTCTTTAAAAAAGTTCGATATTTACGAAATTTCGTAAAATTACGAAACAATACAAAACGAATATGAAACGAATACGAATCGATTCGTTAATGGCGGGCGCGACTGCGTAATACGCTAAAAAACCCTCCATATGGGACAGGGGGAACTTCTGAAGCTTCCCTCTCCCTCTGTTGTTGACTGTTGGTGTGATATTTATAATTTTTTTTCACTGATTAAACAAACAACAACTATAGAACTTGCCCCGGACATGCGGAAATAATAACGAAACGATTTCGAAACGATTTCAAAGCAATTACAAAGCAATTACGAAACGAATTGAAAAATTCGTTTCGTTTTTTAGATGCTCCTGAATGGTTCGTTATCGCTTCGTAACCAAAAAAAAAAAAAATAACGAATTTTTAACGAATTACGAAATTACGAAATGAAACCGCCCAGCCCTAGTAGTGAGGTCTGTTGGAACTAGGAAAAAGGGTTTATATATCTGTGGAAGGACCAGGGTGGGACAAAGGTCTCTTGTCTGCTGGAGCGATGTGTGAATGTTTCAACTGATCACCTTGATTAGCATTTGATGGCCTGGCAGTGCCTGGAGCAATCTTTTATTGAGAGGTGATTAGATGTCCTTGTTTGTTTCCTCTCTGTTGTTGTGCTGTTCTAATTTTAGAGTTTTGTAATACTGGTAGCCAGATTTTGTTCATTTTCATGGTCTCCTCCTTTCTGTTGAAATTGTCCACATGCTTGTGTATTTCAATGGCTTCTCTGTGTAGTCTGACATGGTGGTTGTGAGAGTGGTCCAGCATTTCTGTGTTCTCAAATAATACAGAAAGGAGGAAACCATGAAAATGAACAAAATCTGGCTATCAGTATTTAAAAAACTCTAAAATTACAACAGCAAAACAGCAGAGGGAAAACAATCAGGGACTTGACATGAAACCAAACAATGCCTGGTCTGAAGGAAATTCCCTAAGAGCTCAATTTAAGTCCCAGAAACTGATTTCTACTCCCCCCCAGTCTTTGACCTTAATTGCCGAATTCTTTCTGACCTGCGTAAATATTGGGCCTCTCTACGGTTCTGGCTAATTTCCAGCTGGCGACTGGTCTTATCTATCTCCTTATCTATCTCCTCATGCCTTGGTCACCTCTAGATTGGACTACTGTAATGTGCTCTATGTGGGGCTGCCCTTGAAAACGGCTCAGAAATTCCAACTGGTCCAACGGGCAGCAGCCAGGATGTTAACTGGGGCTCCTTACAGAGAGAGGTCAACCCTCCTGTTCAAGGAGCTCCACTGGCTGCCGTTTATTTTCTGAGCCCAATTTAAGGTGCAGGTGCTTACCTACAAAGCCCTAAACGGTTTGGGACCATCCTACCTGCGTGACCGCATCTCTGTTTATGAACCCACACGTTCACTTCGTTCATCCGGAGAGGCCCTGCTCGTGATTCCACCTGCGTCGCAGGCGCGTTTGGTGGGGACTTGAGACAGGGCCTTTTCTGTGGTGGCCCCCCGACTCTGGAACACCCTCCCCAAAGATCTTAGACAGGCCCCTACATTGGCAGTCTTTAGAAAGAACTTGAAGACCTGGCTGTTCCGATGTGCCTTTCCAGAATAGGAATCTCCAATAACAAGTCCCAGAAGCACTTTATTAGATCTAAGATTGCTGCACACTGCACACTGCACTTCCCCTATAATCCTTACATATCACCTGTCACATCAGCACTTTTAATCTTTGTACCCATTACTCTGGCCCGGCCCAGTTTTATAGTGTCTTGATGTATTGTTTATTGCTTGTTGTTTATTGCTGCTTTAACTGTTTTTAATTTGCTTTAGGTGTTATATTGTGTTTATGTTGTGTTTCGAGGCCTTGGCCTTTGTAAGCCGCATCGAGTCCTTCGGGAGATGCTAGTGGGGTACAAATAAAGTTAATAATAATAATAATAATAATAATAATAATAATAATAATTAACTGCAGATGTGAAACTATCTTGCAGACTCGAGCCTGGAGAAGGGAGTGAACTTTCCTGCAAACTCGAGCCTGGAATTTTCTCATTAGAACTTAGCCTTTCCCCTGGCGCTTCTCGATCAGAGTCTGTAGTAACATTATTGTCCAAAGTGTCTCATTTGCACTTCATCCTCATTGACATCCAAGACAGGCTCAGAAACATTAGAAGGGGGAAACACTATAACAGATTCAGGGTGAAACACAGGCTGAGTCCCAACAGAACTAGAGGTGTGCAATGCGGTTGAAATCCTATTAGTAATTTGTTTTGGAGAGTCAGATGGCCCCACTTTGTTTCGTAAAGATTTGGAGGGGGTCCCCTTTCGTTTCGTAATCTGAATTTCCAAAACTTTGTAATGTTTTTGTTAAGATTTTTTCCATTTAGTGGCAATGGAGAAAATTTCAAGGCCCGTTTCTCAGTAATTTTTCGTATATCAGTATGAGACTTGGAACACTTGTAGGCAACACTGACAACTTTAAGCCTGCCAAGTTTTAGAACATTTCAGTCATCCGCTGATTTTTAGGAATTTAAAAAAGTTTTTACAAATTGTTGTATCTCAGGCTAAGATTCACCTTGCTATCTCTGACAAACCAGCCAAAACTGTGAGGTAGAAAGTTTATTGTGAGGTTTTTAAACAAAGCAGTTCATAAGCAGTGAGAAGATCAGTAGTACAAGGTAAAAAATCCAATACAATCCCTTTGTGTCAAAGCAGGAGACTTGAAGCATAGAAGCAGAGCAAAGTCCAGGAAGTAGCATGAAGTAACGTGAAGCAGGCTTTTCCCAAGCCCCAGACCGGAAGCCTAAGCAAGCCATTTAGCAACGTTGGAACTGACAGAGAACCAGCTCCAAGGCAGTTTACTTATATGTTACACATCAAAACATCAAACAGCAAACATCAAACAAGCAGCTAACAAGCAGTTTTCCCACCAACGGATGAGCTCAACACTTGGTCGCAAGTCGTGAGCTCCTTCTCAACACCTGGGCAGCTTGACCTTGTTTCCCACCAACTGTCTTATCAGCTACATTCCGTTCTTGTGAGAACAGCGGCCTGTATAACTGAAAGCCCACATCTGCACTCTCATTCCCATTCCCATCATGCTCATGCTGTTCTGCACTCTCATTCCCATTCCCATCATGCTGTTGAACCACAACACAAATATATTTTTATAAACGACAAGAGGTATTCTTTTAATTTGTGCACAATGGGACAACATATGCAGGGTATTAATCCTGCAAAGTTTCAGAAAAAACATGTTCATTTACTGATTTTTAGGATTTTCTTTTAAAAAATGAACACACATCTTTTTTTCTTATTAACTCAATAAAGGAGTTTGTTGCATGCCAGTTCAAGAAACAAGACCATAAGATTAAATCCACCACTCTGGACTGTAGGAAAAGCAATCCTTGTTTATTGATGAAAAATTGGTTACAAAAGAAAGGTAAATGCAGAGTAAAAAAGCCACAGAAAAACACAGTAGTCAATAGGATCTCTGAACTTGAGCAAAACTTCAAAAGCCACAAAACAATAACCAGGAGTCTGTTAGCCTTTTACTAACCATGAACTTGGAAACTAGAAGCCTCTGGGATTACTGGCCATGGAACACAGGAATTCTGCCAAGACCAGCCACAGTCCCGAACGTTGCTTGACCTAAAGAAGCACCCGGCAGGGATGCTCTTAAACCAAAGAAGCTATTCTTAGAAACGCCCCTTGACTTTTCTGTTTGGGCCTCTTTCTGCTGAAGGCGCTGTGACCTTCGTACAGACTGGGAAACAAATCTATCTCTCACTATCTGTTCTCTTCGGACCTCATTATCAAGCCCAGGTGGAGAGATATCATGGCTAACTTCCAAAACATTCTCTTCTAACTGCTGGGTTTAGTTTTCATTCCCACTGACCTCTGCATCAACAACAGATTCCACACTGTCATAGTCAGGGAGAGCTTGCTCAGTTTGAAAAACTATCAGAGAATCCTGTTCACACAGATCAGGATCAGACTGAACCTCAACAGAGTTAATAAGAAAAAAAGGGAGGATACCAACTTTGCAGAAGGGAGGATACCAACTTTGCAGAAAGCTGTATGATTGGCTGACAAGGAAAAAACAGCATGCAGCCAGCAACTATTATCACGACGCTCTTATTAAAGCAGCTCCACTGGTGGTCAATAAGTTTCTGGTCCCAATTCAAAGTGCAGGTTATGACTTATAAGGCCCTAAATGGTTCGGGTCCTGCCTATCTCTGTGACCACATCTCCCTCTATGAACCGGCGTGGGGTCTAAAATCTGTCGGGGAGGCCCTTCTCTTGCTCCCACTATTGTCACAAGCACAGTTGGTGGGGATGAGGGAGAGGGCCTTCTCAGTGGTGACCCCCCCGACTTTGGAACACCTTCCCAAGGGAGATTAGGCAAGCCCCCACACTGTCCTCTTTTCACAGAGATTTGGATGTTTCAGTTAGCATTTGAGATCGCCTAGTCCCTAGTTATAAACGGTTATCAGGCTCCTCAGCTTCTCGCTTTCAGCCATCAAAGTGGTATCATCTGCATATCTAAGGTTGTTAATGTTTCGCCCAGCAATTACAACTCACCAAGAAACCAAATGTGGTAATAAACAGTTTATTGATGCTGTTTATTACTAA